CACTCGGACTTGCCCAGATTTCATGGCACCAAGGCATCAGGGCAGAGGGAGACCAGGCTGGCGTGGACGCTGCAGCTCATTAATAACATCACAGTAGCCCCTGGTCAGGAAGCCTGTGAAACTGAAGTAGAGGGACCTGCCATGGCCAGAAACCCCACCTTTGCCTCCACACCATATAAAGCCTGCCCTGGGAGATTCGAAGGTTTGCCTCCATCTCTCTCATCCTCCTTCCCTTCTCAACCCAACATCTATTCTCATTCATTTCTCCACTCAACACATGTTGACTGAGTGCTTACTATGTGCCGGGCACAGTGTTAGCATCCAACATAAATGAATGCACAAGAAGGACATGGTCCCTACTCTCAGAGCCCTGACTCAGTTGGGAGACAGCCAGCAAATGAACACAAACAACACATGGAGAACCACGGGGTGTTTGGGGTTGGGGGGAATGGCAGGGAGCTGCAGCACCTCTGACTTTCTGCAAAGCACATGGGTTCTGGGTACAGGTTGGGACTGATGACTAACTCTTCTGTTTAGACTAAGCATCAGACAGCTAATATGAATCCAGCACTTCCTGGAAGAGAGGCAGGTACTGTGTGAGGAGCTGTGAGGGAACCCGAAGAGTACAAGACAGAGTGCCTACCTTCTCAAGCATGGGCCACCCAGGGTTACATGCAGGTGCAGGACACAGACCCACATGGCTGCACCCCAAGTGTGTGCTGCAAGCAGCAACTGCTGCAGGGATCAGATGACAAGGCTGATGGGACCAGGGAGGGCCTTTTGCAGGAGGTGGGACTGTCTGATTTAAGAGTGTAATGGGTACATGTATCAATACCCTCTGTATACAGTATAGATAGGGACGAGCAACTTAGACATTGGCTACCTAAAATGAACTGGAGCTCTGGTAGTGTAGTGGTTACGAATCAGGCTGCGAACCACAAGGTCAGCAGTTCGAAACTACCAGCTGTTCCGCGGGAGAAAGATAAGGCAGTCTGCTCCCGTAAAGATTTACAGCCTCGGAAACCCTGTACAGGGTTGCTATGAGTTGGAACCGACTCCACAGCACACAACAACAACAACAACAACCTAAAATGAGGGAGTGATAAAGGCACGAAGTGACTGGTTTACAGGGTTTCAAGGGGGAGTTTAGTTTAAGAGTATGAGGGAGAAGAAAGAGTCCTCACTGAATAGTTTTCATCTTGTATAAATGGGTCTGGTTAAAAGAGATGGGCATAAGACTCTTACGATTCAGTAGTGAGTAATTGTTATCATGACTAATTGCAACTGTCACAATTATAAAGGTAGAAGTTTGATAACCCTAACGGGGGAGAAGTTAATCTTACAGTCCAGAAACAAAGGACCCTAGGACCATCAAGGTGGAAGAACACAAGCGGATTGTGGGACCTTATCCAGAGAAGCAACGACACCAGAGGTGGAGGCAGAGATAGGGACATGGAGAGAGGGAGCAGCTGAGGACTCTAGATTCATGGAAAGAGAGGGACTGAGAGCTGGCAGCCAGGAGACAGACTCACAGAATGTTCTTTTTGGTAGTGTAAATTATTATACATGCCTGAGTGTTTAAAAAAAAAAAAAAAGAGAGAGAGAGCTAAAATGAATAGAGAGAAATACTGTTAACTGATGGTACATGGAGGGGATTATAATCATTTTAATGAAACAAAGAATATGATTTGTTGAATGTAAAACTGATGATCTGTCCTGTAAACTTTCACTCAATCCACAATAAAAACCTTAAAATAAAATTTAAAAAGTGTGTAAGGGGCAGAATAACTTGACAAAGCCACCTGCACACAAGCCCAATGGATCAGCACATCATCAGATGAAGGAAGCCCGCAGGCCAGACAAGAGCCAGTAGGTGTTAACGCCCCGCTGGAAGGACCCTGCTCCCATCTGCCCTGGCAGGCCCTCAGCTGGCCCCTGTGACGAACCTCCTAGTGCCTCCGCTCCAGGCAGATCCACCTCACACACACAGCCAGAACCCATCACAGCAAAGTCCAGATCGGGGAGGATTACCCCATAAGCAAGGTAAACATGGGTTTACTTATGCTTTCTTATTAATCTGTAGTGAACAATTTTACGTGTAGAAAAACATGACACTGTTCACTAAAGATTAGTAAGTAAGCCCATGTTTGCCTTGCTTACAGAGTACTCTGTCCCTGTTTGGGATTGTAATTTGAAAATAGACTTTGATTCTATAAGACATTCTATAAGGTTGGGAGAGAAACAGATACTTAGAAGCCATACTTAGAAGCAGAATGAACCTTTGATGTGGTGAAAAATATGAAACTGTTTACTATAGATTAGTAAGTAAACCCACGCTTACCTTGATTACTGGGTAATCCAATACTGGCTCAGGCCCTACCCACCTGCTCATAGCCAATCCTGGATCCTCCACCCTGTCCCCTGTGTTTTCCACCCTTGGTTCTGTCCCTTGTTTCTACCCTAACATTCCCAGGCCTTGGCCATGGCAGAAGGCTCTTCTAATCTTCATCTTAGAGCTCCCTAGGCCATGATCTGAGTCCATCCTTCAGTTTTTCCAGCTCCTGGCTGCCTGGGTGCTCAGGGCCTTAGAACCCCACTTTACCAACACGTTGGTTGGCCTGGCCTCACCTCCTGTCAGAGCAACTGGCCAACCTCGTCCCACTTTTCCTTCTCTTTCTCCAACCCAGCCAATCTCTGCTGAGCTTACAAGCTGGGGATCTGACCTCAAGTTAGCCCCCTCTCCCTTGTTCTCCTGGCCTTTGAGAACTTGTTTGTTTTCTACCTTATTCAGTAAGGCAAGGTTGCAATATTTCAGAAAGAACTTCCTAAGTAGGAAACGAATGGAAAAACCAAAAGGAAAACACAGCCCCTAGAAATGGACCAGTTTTAAAAATTCAGATTTCCTGTCCCGAGCAGAAAAGGTCTAGCCAGACTGGCTGCCAAGAAGCCAGGGAGTCCTGTCCATAAACACTGCCCTCTTTCCCTTCCCCTCTATAGGAGAGAAGTGGCAGCAGCTGAACTAAGGGGGTCTTTGTCAGACAGAACCGCTCCCCACCTCACAGGCAGAGAAAATGAATATTAGCATCTCTAAGGAGTGTGCTATGTGCAAGGCACTATTCTAAGCATTCTGCTTGTTGTTAAGTGCTGTTGAGTAGGTTCCAACCCATAGCAACCTTTGTATAGGGTTTCAAAGGAGCGGCTGGTGAGCTTGAACTTCTGACCTTGCAATTCAAACCAACTTTGCAGCCCAACGCATTAACCCACAGCAGCACACCAGGACTCCAACCATCACATTGTTGTTGTTGTTAAGTGCCGTCAAGTCGGTTCTGACCCATAGCAACTCTATATAGGGTTTCCAAGGAGCAGCTGGTGGGGTTTGAACTGCCAACCTTGTGATTCAAGCTGACCTTGCAGTCCAGTGCATTATCCTGCAGTGCCACACCAGACCTCACATTGTTGTTGTTGTTGTTGTTAAGTGCTATCAAGTCAATTCTGACCCATAGCAACTCTGTATAGAATTTCCAAGGAGCAGCTAGTGAGCTTGAACCACCGACCTTGTAGTTCAAATGACTTTGCAGTCTGACACATTAACCCACAGCACCACACCAGGACTCCAGCCATCCCATTGGTGGTGGTGGTGGTGGTGGTTATGTGCCATGGAGTCGATTCCAACTCACATCAACCATGCACAGGGTTTCCAAGGCTGTAAATCTTTATGGGAGCAGAAAGCATCATCTTTTTCCTGCAGAACAGCTGGTAGTTTCAAACTGCTGACTTTGAAGTTCGCAGCCCAATTTGTAACAACTACGCTACCAGAGCTCCTTAGCCATCACATTGGTGGTGGTGGTTATGTGCAGTGGAGTCGTTTCCAACTCAAATTGACCCTGTACAGGGTTTCCAAGGCTGTAAATCTTTATGGGAGCAGAAAGCCTCATCTTTGTCCCACGGAACTGCTGGTAGTTTCAAACTGCTGACCTTGAGGTTGGCAGCCTGACTCGTAATCACTACGCTACCAGAGCTCCATCACATTGTTGTTGTTGTTAAGTGCCATTGAGTCAGTTCCGACCCATAACAACCCTGTATAGGGTTTCCGAGGAGCAGCTGGAAAGCTTGAACTGCCAACCTTGCAGTTCAAATGGCTTTGCAGTCTGGCACATTAACCCACAGCACCACACCAGGTCTCCATCACATTGTTGTTGTTGTTGTTGTGTGCCGTGGAGTCGTTTCCAACTCATAGCGACCCTGTACAGGGTTTCTGAGGGTGTAAAATCTTTACAGGAACAGAAAGCCTCATCTTTCTCCTGCGGAACAGCTGGTAGTTTCAAACTGCGGATGGTTCACAGCCCGATTAGTAACCACTACACTACCAGAGCTCCTTTCCATCACATTAGGGGTGAGTTAATTAAATGTTTGACCAAATATAGCAGGCTAATTTTTAAGTTGATCATTTTGTATGACCTGTGAATATTATCAATTGTGGCAGAAAAAAGGATTCCCACCCCCTGCTGTATAGGGTTTCCAAGGAGCAGCTGGTAAGTTTGAACCACCGACTTTGGTGTTAGTAGTCCAGTGCTTATCCTACAATGCCACACCAGGAGTCCTAAGTATTTTCCATTGCTAACTGGAGTAATCCTTACAAGAATTCCATGAAGTAGGTATTAGCACTGTCCTCCTCACTGATGAGGACCTAGAGGCCTGGATTTAGAAACTTGTCCAAGGTCATCAAGCTAAGAAGTGGCAAAGCCAAGATTGGAAACAGGAGACTCAGCCTTCTTCTAGCTGTTCAGCCATAAAGACCTCACCTCCCACCTCCCACCTCCACACCAGCCTGGCGAAGCCAATGCCAGCCCCAACCTGTCCCTGCCAGAGGATAAGGGGGGAGTGGAGGGAAGAAAGGGTAGTTTCAGCTCTCTCCACCAAGATTTATGCCCCTAAGGAAGAAACCTCCAGAGAGAGGCTGAGCCCCAGGACCCAGGGGTCCCTCCGAGGAGGGGACTTACCTGGCCATCAGTAGCTGTGGTGTCTGTGGCTGAGTTCTGGCTGAGGTGCCTTCTCGGGCTGCACTGCTCCTGAGCAGCTTGGGGGAACCGTCAGCTGAGCGTCGAGGTGCTGGCCTGGAATTCTGGGGATCAAATTCCTCCTCAGGAATGACCTCCTCGCAGCGGGCTCCACGGAAGCCTGAGCGGCAGATGCAGAGCTGGGGTCGGCTGCAAGAGCCCCTGTTCTGGCATGGTGGCTGGCACACAGCTGAGGAGACAGGGAGAGGGGTGACAGCAGGGGCCACAGCATGCACTGCCCTGACGCCCTCCTGTCAGGAGGGCCTTCTGCTCAGGAGAGAGAATGGAGTGTGGCTTGTTCTCTCTACTCTAGCCTGGATGGCTTGTTGTCCAGAACTTGACCAGATGCATCAACTGCTACAACTTGATGAACTGGACCTTTGCTTATGGATGAAGTTGCCCAAAATTCCAACCGAAAGGGAAGGATTCTTCACATCAAGGATCAAACATGCCTCTTCAGGACATTAGATTGATAAGGACGAGCAAGTTAGATTTCGACTATCAAAACTGGGTGGCTATAGTAGATAGCAACTTGGATATTGGCTACCCAAAATGGGGGTGGGGGGGCTACAAAGGCAAGAAGTGACTGGCTTACAAGCTTTCAAGAGGGAACCTAGATCCAGAGGGTGTGGAGGAAGGTAGAGTCTCCATTGAGTAGTATCCAACCTGTCTAGGAGGGGCTGATGAAATGAAATGCAGATAGGTATCTTGTGATACAATAGTGAATAATTGTTATCAGGACTGATTGTGAGGGTTGGAAATGTAAAGGTGGACATTTTATAGCAAAGAGGGGAGTGATTAACTTTTCAGTCTAGAAGCGGAGGGCCCTGGGACCATCAGTGGAGAAGAGCAGAGAGCAGGACCCTACCCAGAGAAGCAACAATGCCTGAGATGGAGGCAGAGACCATGACGCAGAGAGATGGAACAGCTGGGAACTTTAGATCCAGAGAGGGAGAGCAACTGTGTGCTGAAGACTGGGGGGGTAGGGAGGCGGTCAGGTTGGTTAATGATGCATGGACGGGATTGTAACTATGGCAATGAAACAATATATGATAATATATGATAGAATTAATGTAAAACTAATGTTCTCCCATGTAAACTAACACATAATTCACAATAAAACATTTCTTTAAAACAACAGCAACTGGGTGGCTATAAAGGCATGAAGTGACTGGCTTATAAGCTTTCATGAGGGTGCTTAGTGTCATAACACAGTGGGTACGACAGAATCACCAGTAAATAATTTTCCTCTTGTCCAGATGGGTCTAGTGACGATGGGGATAGGATTTTATGATTAAATTGTAAGTAATTGTCATTAGGATTAATGGTGATTATCACAACTGTAAATGTAGAAGAGGTGTAACTAAAAGTGGGGAGCAGTTAATCTGTCATTTCAGGAACAGAGGACCTTAGGACCATCAAGAGGGAAGAGCGTGAGAGGAGGGCAGGATCCTATCGAGAGAGCGGCAACAACAGAGATGGTGGCAGAGGCGATGGCATACAGACATAGAGCAGCTGCGGGCTCTAGGCCCATGGACTGAGAAAGGCTGTGTGCCTACAGGCAGGAGGCTGGCTGCCAAAATGTGCCCTTTGCACATTTAAACGAATATATATTTTCAATGTGGTATGTGTACATCAAAAAAAAACAAAAATAAGGGGGTGGTGGTGATAATAGAGGTAAATACTGTTAGCTGATGGTGTAAGGAGGGGATTGCAATGATTTGTCAAATGTAAAACTGATGCTCTGCCTTATAAACCTTCACTCAATTCACAACAAAGCTTTAAAAGCCTCTAGTCCCTCCTCAAAATTCCTATACAGGGGTCACTCTGAGTCCAAACCAACTCGACAGCACTTAACAACAAGAACAATCCTTCTGTCTGGAAGACCCCATCTTCTCTTGTCTGCCTTCTTCAGAGAGACCTGCCTTGACCTCCCCCCATGAAGCTCAGGCACAGATCACTGGATGCTGCCAGGAAGTTCACCATGCTGTTGTTTTCTTATTGCTTACTGCTCTTCCCCATGTGACTAGGCTCCATGTAGGGCAAAGACTTTATCCCCAAGGCCAAGCACATAGTTGTTGTTGTTAAATGCTGTCAAGTTGGTTCCCACTCCCTTTCCAAGGAGCGGCTGGTGAGTTTGAACCACTGACCTTGAGGTCCAAACTAGAAGGATAGGTGAATGCAAAGCTCTGAAGGCTGTAAGGAATTTGACATGTTCAAGATGTCCAGGGAGGCAGGGGTCTGATGACCGAGGGGGGAGTAATTCAAGGTCAGAAGGGACACAGAGGTCAGATTATGTGGCCCCTGTCACACTCAGCAGGGAATTTAGATTGTATTCCAAGTGCAACTGTGAAACTACTAGTCACTGCTTCGCAGACCAGGTGCCTGGGTTTCCTGAGTTGAGTTCTGCTTTCTGAGAACAGATCTAGAAGCCAGTCTGAATAAATTGCTACAAAATTTCATTTGGCCATGTCACCTCTCTCTTAGAAAAGCCTCAGGGATTTCAGGATTGGAGTCCACAGACTAGCACCGAAGACTCTCCCCAGCGATCCGTTCCTAACAAAGCCTCCAAGTAAACCAGTTCCAAATCAACTGGCCTGCTGGCTCTGGCTCAGACAGCCTCTCCCTTCCTTTTCTTTGCACGTGCTGTGTCCCCTCCCTGGAACTCCGTCCCTGTTCTTCTGTACTTACTGAAGGCCCATCACCTTCCAATGACTACTCCCTCCCCTGAACAACTCAGGATAGCACTTACTGTGTACACCACTCACTGGGCATGCCTGTGTGCCCCTTTTAACACCGTGAGGTTTTTGTTTTGTTTTGCAACCATTGCTGTTATGTATTTCCAAAGCTTGCCACCACCCCAAACAAATTCTGTACCACTCAGCAATTGCTCCCATTCCCCACTCCCTCCAGCTCCTGGGAACCAAGAATCTACTTTCTGTCTCCATGCATTTGTCTAGTCTAGATTCTCATGTAAGTAGGATCAAGCAATATAGGCCCTTTTATATTTGGCTTCTTTCACTCAGCGTAGTGAGATGTTTTCAAGATTGATCATAAATTAGAGCGTCATTTCTCTTTATGGCTGAGTAGTATTTCATTGTATGTATATATCATATTGGGGAGCATGGTGGCTCCATACCATAAGCATTGGGCTGCAAACTGCAAGGTTTGTAGTGTGAGCCTGCCAGCTGCTCCATGGGAGAAAAAGTTTTTTGCTCCCACAAAAATGTAAGCCTTGGAACCCCTACACAGGGTGGCTATGAGTTGGAACTGACTTGACAGTAATTAACAACAGAAACAACAAATATCATATTTTGTTTATTCATTCATTTGTTGGTGGATATTGGGTTGCTCCCCCCTTTTGGCTTTTATGAATCATGCTATAATGGCCACCGGAGTCCTGGTGTGGTGCTGGACTGCAAGGTCAGTTTGAACCACAAAGTCGGCAGTTCAAGCTTACCAACTGCTCCTCGGAAACCCTATACAGAGTCACTATGAGTCAGAACCAACTCAATGGCATTTAACAACAACAACAATGAACATGGGTGTACAAGTGTCTACTTGAGTCCCTGCTTTCAAATCTTTGTGGTATATAACCAGAAGTGAAACTGTTGGGACATATGCTAGATCTATGTTTATTTTTTTGAGAAACTGCCAAACATTTAAGGAACTCTGGTGGCATAGCGGCTACGAGTCGGACTTCTAACTTCAAGGTCAACAGTTCGATACTACCAGCTGTTCCATGGCAGAAAGATGAGGCTTTCTGCTCCCATAAACCCCTACTCAAGGTTGCTGTGAATCGGACCCAACACCACGGCACATAACCACCACCAACACCAACACCACCAAACATTTTACACAGTGGCTGCACCATTTTGCATTTCCACCAACAATGGATGAGGTCTCTAATTTCTCCACATTTTCATCAATGCTTGTTATTTTCCATTGATGTTTGTTTATTTGTTTGTTTGTTTATAACAGCTACCTAGTCCTGGTGTGGCACTGTAGGATAAGCACTGGACCTCAAGATTGGTTTGAATTACAAAGTCGGAGGTTCAAACTCACCAGCTACTCCTCAGAAACCCTACACTGGGTCACTATGAGTCAGCACTCAGCAACAATTTGGTGTGATATGGCATAGAATTTTTATGTATGCATCTCAATTCCCCAGCTAATGTGGTCAGTTCCTCAAAGTGTTGTCAGCGTCTCTTACACTTCTTTGTATACTTGGTTCCTAACATGATGCCTCATGAGAAAATTACCATTATGAACTGCTGACCTTGTGGCGTGTAACCCACTACTTGCCCAGGGCTCCCGTATTTGCATATACACTATCTCATTGACTCCTCACAGCAATCCTATGCAGCAGGTGGGTATATGTTTCCCATTTTACAAATAATGCCTTTGAAGCTCAGAGAGTTGAAAAGAGTTGTCGGGGGTCATCTGACAATGGTGGTGGTGGTGGTGTGCCGTGTAGTCAGTTCCGACTCATAACCACCACCACCTGCATAGGGTCTCCGACTCATAACCACTATGCTACCAGAGCTCCTTTAATCAGTGGTGGAACTAGGATTTGAATCCAGCCCAGGCTTTCTCCACCCAACCCCAGGGTGTAGACTAAGGCAGGGCTGGTGTGGTTCTTCCTCCCTACTATCTCTGAGCCTCACCCTCAAGCTGATGATGAAACAGAAGGAACCTGCTGGTTTGCAGTCAGCCACCAGCACACTGTGTAACATGGAAGCCAGGACACACCGGTGGTGTGGTTAGTGCACAATCACTCAGGCTGAGGTAGGGAATAGGGAAAGGCAGAGAGGTGAGGAGGAGGTGATGCGTACCAGAGTTTTAAAGGATGAGTAGATTGGAATCAAGCCCACTAAGGACACCCAAGGGCCAGCCTGCCTTGGCCATCCTTGGTGAGCTTGTAAAGGGAAATATCAGGTCTCACTCTGGTATCCCAAACAGCCCTCTGCTGGATCCACAGCCAGAGCACCTCTTCCTTAGGACTCTGGACAATTCCTGAGGATCCAGGGCCTCTAGCTTAGCAAATCATGTTAGAGCATTATAACCCAGAGCGCTTCCCCCAACGCAACCTCGGCAGGATTTTGTCCCGTCACTTGGGTCACTTGGTCAGCACTCCATCTGCTCAAGCTGACTTAGCCCCTACCTGACCACCTGCCAGTCCCTGTCACC